GCGCCAAAGTTGAGATGCCGTGGCGGGATCCCACGATCCCCTGGGCCGCGGCGCCTTTTCTCCCTGGCACGATCAGATGCTGGGGAGAAAACACAGTTCAGATGGGGAGCCTACCGAACTGCGCATGTCGGAGCATGCACAGTTCGGCTAGGAGCTGGGGATGAGCCGGCGCAAAGACGCGCCGGCGATCCGACGGCCCGGCTTGTGGCGCTTCAATCAGAAGAACCACCAGGTTAGGTGGTTCTTTTTGGTGCGGGTTTTCGGCCGGGAGAGACGGATCAGAGACGGGCAGGCAACGATTCCCAGATGTTGCCGTGGGATCGTGCCCGTTTGATCTGCCCCCGTTCTGTCTCGCTCCCGGACCAAAACCCCTCATCTGAACAGGACCTCAGTGAGGCTTCCAATATTGGGACAGGGGCCATCCTAAATCAGATTGGGGAGGATGGAATCCAACATTTTATCCATTAACAGCAGGAAGTTAGTGGAGAGAGAACAGCATCTCTCCGCCATAGAAAAATAATGTTTGGTAATAGTGTGGGCCGTGGGGAAGCTAAAACCATATGTCTGGGGAAGAAAATTCACATTGTGTACCAACCTATTCCCCATTATGTAGTTTGTAACAGATTTTGGCCAGTTCGTGAAGCTATGCTGGTGAACTGAAGAACTGCCACAAACTTTCACAAATTTTGATGCAGTTCATGACTCTTCACAAAAAACAGCTGAGCAGCAAGGAGCTCAGCTGTTTGGGTTAAATAGCTGGGAGCCATTTAAACCTTTGCTTTATGCTTCATGTGAAAAGCCACGGGGAGCAGAAAGCAGAGGTTTAAATTGCTCCAAGCCTGGGGCTGGCTGCCAGGAAAAGCCCTTTAAACAGCTGAGCTGCAGGGGCAGCCTGCTCCATTGCTCATTTGTTTAGATCAAAACAACTGAGCCACAGGGGCAGCCTGCTCTCATGCCTCAGCTATTTACAGCCTGAAACATCTGAGCTACGGGAGTAGGCTGCCCCCTTGGCTCAGCTGTTTTGGGCACGAACCTTGTGAACCCAGTTCAGTTTGTATGCAAACCTACTGGATTTGCGGTTCAGTTTGTGGTTCACCCATGAACCAAACCGCATTTCTGTGGTTTATGCCCATTCCTAGTCTCATCTCACATGGTGACAAGGATACCGTAATCACCAATCTGATATGAAACTAACATGCAATTAAGTCACCCCAGTAATTTCTGTGGAAGAGATTAAAATTCTATTGAAACAGATGCACCACTATGCATATCATGTGCAATTCTCTGTGTTCACTAAAACTATTCTCAATGCCTTCAGTTTTTTCTTAAGTAACATAAGGTAAATACAAGCTATATTGCCTTTACATTTTCAAGTTATTATTCAAACTAAAATAATTTCTACATAATACTATGAATTTGGTTGACTATCACCTTTAAATCCAAATAAACATGCTATATCAGATCATGCTCTATTTAGGATACTGATAATTTTCAATTTTCTGAAAAACTCACCATTGCTCACAACAAATTATTTGCCTGTGTAACTGAACAATCACCACCACCACATATAGTTGAATTTAAATGAACATTTCAAAGTCCAGATAAATCTTTAAGACTATAGGTATTAAACAGCTTTCAGAATACAAAAATAAAAATAAAAAAATTAAAAATAAAAAAACCCAAGGCCATGTGCATTTAGCATTTTTTTTTACCATGAGTTAATTTCAGAGCAGCAATCACATACTCCCATCCCCAAAATGGGGGGGGGGGGAAAGTAACACAAGAAAACTGTATAGGGTTGCAGTGTTAGAACCCTTCCATATCTTTAAAATATCCATATCTTTAAAATATCCAAAGACAATTTTGAAGGTCAGATGGACAACTCTTTAAAAGAAAACAGTATTAATAGCTGTTTTCTTTGCAGCTAAAGAATACCCCTATTTTTCCTAAACAAATATTTTATACCTAATTTGAATCAACGTTTACTAAGACTTGTTTTTTTCCTCACAGGGCTTGAGCAAGCAGATATGTAAGGAATCAGCCCCAGTAGGCAGCTCGGAAAGGAGGGAGAGACTACTGTTGTTCTCTTCCCATATGTTTAGGGTTGCCAAGTCCCCTCACTGTGCCAGAGGGGGGATTTGAGGGGCATTCCAGGACATCTTATATGCGATGACATCATCCAGAAGTGACGTTATTACAACAGTGACACTCTGGTTTAAGGGCAAACTATAGTTTTAGGCCAAATTTACCACAGAGTTTTGCCCTCAAACCAGAGCATCCCATGTGATGCCTAGGGTTCCCAAGTACCTACCTTCGATCCGGCAGCGGACACATGCTTCCCCGCCGGAAGATTCTTGCTTGGAACACAGGCGCCGCACTATTGCTTGGAACACAGGCGCTGCACTATTCCATCGCCCAGATGTGACGTAGGCACATAGCTGGGTGACGCTCTGGTAATGGGACTGGAAACTCGATGGTACCATCGAGTTTCCAGCCCCATTGCTAAAGCGTCACCCGGCTACGTGCCTACATCACGTCTGGGCAATGGAATAGTGCAGCGCCTGTGTTTTCCCCACGGGAATGGTCCCGCGAAGAACTATACATCCCCCGCCGAATTAAGGTAAGTACTTGGGAGCCCTGGTGATGCCCCGATGTGATGATGCCACTTCTGGGTGACATCATCCTATTGGGGACGTCACACAGGGATGCAGCAGTTTGGGGGGGGGGGTTCCTCTGCCGGCCACCTGGCTAGCAGTGGGGTGAAGCTCCAAAAACTGGGAGAACCCCTGCCAGGACCCGGGGACTGGCAACCTTACATATATCTCAAATAACAAGAGACAAAGAACAAACCCATCTTATTCTCCCCACCAAAGCCCTCTTTACATTTGACAATGAAACTGCTCCCAGCAGGGCTTTACAGCTGAAGAGGGACATTATTCATGAACTAACAGTTCTGCCAAATGAGAAGGGAGCACTCACTGGAGAAGACCCTGATGCTGGGAAAGATTGAAGGTCAAAGAAGACGGGGACGGCAAAGGATGAGATGGTTAGACAGTGTCATAGATGCAACGAACATGAAATTGAGTGAACTTCAGAGGACAGCAGAAGACAGGAGGGCCTGGCGTGACCTGATCCATGGGGTCGCGAAGAGTCGGACTCGACTGTGCGACTGAACAACAACAACAGTTCTGCTAATAACCAAGTCTCCAGCCAAACCAAGTCCAAACCAAGCTCCATAAAGGATAATAGTGAACTGAGCCAGTATAATTAACAGGATCTTTAGTTAGGCAGGATGTGCAGTACTGCAGTACACATGCACCAGTTAGGAAGCTGAATCTGTGCTGTACCAAATTTTACAACTTTATGCCTAGAAGCTCCTATCAGTGTGAGCCTCTGTTCAGAACCTTGTTGCCTCAGGCAATGTAGCGAGTGAGTTTGTTTGGCCACTCTGGTCTTCCCTAGCATAAACCTAGATACTACAGGCAGTGCATTCCTATGAAGTTGGTCTTAGTAGCTGCCAGTATTATGCAGTTATTGGCATAAGGTAAGTCCACTAAGCTACCTCAGCACCCAAGAACCAGTTTTCTGCACGAAGCCAACCACAACTTTAGACGTCCAAGGAAACTAAGAATTCATACATCATTTTATTTTGACATGTATTTGGCATGATCTCTATTTTCATTACATTAGATATATAATACTTTAAACCAGTACTTAAAAATCTGATTAATACTTACCTGTGTTAAAATATAATTTCTTTGGGCTTCTTCATTAACCACCAAGCTTGCATTGATGTAATCATTGTCTGTATTCTGCAGTACGACTCGACTGTGATCATCTTGAAATAAATATATCATGAAAACACTAAGTCTCACAACTCCAGTAGTAAAAGTCAGTGTACTGCAGATGAATTTGTACATAGTAATAGAAAGTACTGTATAGTGGTACATAATGATCCTATTTTGCATACCTCATTACCAAATACATTCAATATACAGTCCAAATTCTCTTTTATCAAGCAAAAATGGCTTCTTTTTCATTTAACAACACTGAGAATAAAAGAAAGAAAATACTATTGAAAAAATAGTATGGAGTACAATCACATTTTTAAAAAGTTCTCCTAAAGCAAAGTCACTTGACATAGACATAGTAAATATAAACTCAGCAGCCGGGGCTCTATAAATCCCAGGCACCAGGGTGCCATGGAGCCTCGAGATTTCATTGTTTTCTGCAGTCATTTGTTGTAATTTATTTATTTATAATTTGAATTTATAAACTGCCCTCCCCTGACTCTACAGGGCCCATCAAAGAATAAAACATTCATAAATATAAAACAATGTAAACATAATAATAATAATAATAACAACAACAACAATAACAAGCTAAAACAATCTCAGATAGCACAATATTCCAATTGTGTTATTGCCTCGCGAGGAAGGTAGGGAAGAAGCCGGGAACACGAAGGGAAGGGAAAGGGAGTGCCAGAAAGATGGTACCTGTCGTCATCCTCAACCAAAAGCCTGGTGGAACATCTCTGCTTTGCAAGCCCTGCAGAACTGCATTAGGTCCCACATGTGTGAATGTTATCCAGCAGAGAGTTCCACCAGGTAGGAGCCGGGACAGAAAAAGGCCTGGCTCTGGTTAAGGACAGCCAGACATCTTTTGGGCTGGGGATCACCAGTAGATTGTTCTCTGCAGAGTATACTGCTCTTTGGGGGACATACCAGAGGAGATGGTCCTGTAGGTAAGTGCCTCCTGATGATTCTCATGAAAAGTACAAAGCTTATTTAAATAGGGGATAGAGGCTAGCTTTTTGTTGTGATGATAACCAGGGTTTATGTTTGTTCATATAATACAACACTTTTATCATACCCTTAAAAAATGACAAGAAACTGTGAAGAGTTTAGGATTACGTTTTGTGGTAGCACCCAAGAGAAAGTACAGTTGCTAAAATATAAGCCCTAAAGGCTGAAAAGTAAGTCCATCTCCGACATTTTTGGGGTGGCTAGTAAAGCTGAAGAAAATTTGTCATGGCCTGATCTAAGCCATATGTATCAACACACCAAAGAGTGCAGGACACTTCCTAAGTAACATGCTGAATTTCTCTTAACCAGATAAGTTTGGAAGAATTAAACTATTTGATATTGCTATGCAAACTTCTTCATTATGCAGGTGTGTTTGACAAAATGGGCTTTGGCAGCAAAAGCTTACACAACAATACGTTTGTCAGTTTTGAAGATGTGTGTTCTAATGTAACAACTTATAACTCTTTAAGGCAGGCCAGTATTATTCCTATACCATGGCTTGTCCAAGGCTACTTAAACAAATTCACAGCAAAGGTGAAATTGGAGCTATTTTTAACCATGACATTAAACCAGCTCTCACCTCTAACTTGTGTTGCTAAAATTCACCAAGAATGGTGTTTCTCACAACTCCTTCTTATGAGTCACTTACCTAACATAGGTCCCGGTTACACGTGCAAGATAATGCGCGGGGGAAGCAAAGCTATTTAAACCTGGAGGAAATTGACCCGCAGTTGCGCGATCACACAGTTCTTTGAAGCTGTGGGCATAGCCTGCCACTGCGTGATCAGAGGCAATTGCGGGTGAATTGGGGTTTTTTGGCTGCTTTCGATTCACCTAAATGGAGGATCAATGAATCGCATCTCCACACTGAGGGCTTCCTATGGCAGTATGCAATGATGCGCATACTGAAAAGGGAAAAAACAACAACGGTATGGCCTAATCAGACCACCCCCGACGCCATGAGAGCGCGCTGGAGCGATCATACGGGGGAAAGTCCGTCTGTGGTCCATAGCAACCCGTTTGATACTGGACTTTCCCCGGTATTTTTTAACTCTGCTTCTTCGGCAGAGTAAGATGGGTTGCCAACGGGTGTGGGACACTTGCCAGATGTTCCCATGTGATTGGGACCATAGTAATCTTTCCGCCTGCACGAAACACTTTCCACATTTTGAAGTAAGCAGTCATTTAGAAATAGGATACCAAATGTTCCAGTGAAGCAGCAAAGCAAACACTTAGAGACTATCTACCAGGAAAAGGCCCTACACAACAAGGTGACGCATGTGGCCATGTACAAAGAAACTTCATGTTGCATACACTTCATTACATTTTCTACAGCAGCTCTCACAACAGGTAAGAACAAATGCTTTTACAACTACACAATTGATGGCCATATATGTTAGCAAATAAGAAGCAAACACCGCAGAATGCCTTTTGGTTGCACACATACTTTCTTTAAATGTACATAAACATCTTCTGGATAGCCAGGTTTGGACCCTTTGTGCATTTGATGAGCTGCTACAAATGGGGGAAAGCATCAAGGGAGGAAAGAAGGATTTTTGACACTAATAAAGGTATAGCCACAACCAAAAGATGGCAGCTAGGTAGAAGTGTACAACAAATACCTGCAACCCTCACTTCCTTTTTAAGACCACTTCTACTCAAAGAGTTAACCAAGCTTACGTTAAATAATGAATTGAAAAGGTGCTATTTTAAGTAACAGTTTAAGACTATTTTGATTGCAGCCTTCTTAAATGAGCACCATTTGTCTTGCTTTAAAGTTGATGAAATGTACTGGAAGTTAGAAAACTTTTTTCTCTTCCAAGGCAATGAAATACGTATACTAGTCACCTTTTCTTCAAAGGTTAAAAGCTATTGAAAGCCTTGGTTCAGAGCTACTTGCTGTTCGTAGGATATATACAGTGGCAAATTGGATAGGTATATTTTTAGGAGCCACTCGTACAAGTTCCAATATATAATTTGGAGTCTAGTCTTTTTTAATGTATGAGAAATTAAAATATGAGTTACTTGAAAACAAACAATTTACCATGCTTGGAAATGAAAGTGTTAAAGATTCTCTTTTCATGTATAAATTTATTGGAACTCAAATGTTTCTGCTGGACAGAAACCAAAACCTTTGTAAATACTACATGCCATTTGCCAACAGGAAAAACTTAAGATCTTGTTATAGTAAATCACACATACTGGTACTAGTGTTCTCGGAAAGATGATGTCAGCAAGCACTGTTTTAACCATTTAATCACCAAACAGTTCCTGTTTGATTTCTTGCAGCAGACAACTTCTGCGCTTCATATCATAACACCAGACAAGCCAGCTTCCAAGATACTCTACTTATAACCAAACAGAAAGGGCATTTTCCGTAAAAACCATTGCAAGAGTCTCGCAGCTTGTTAAACAATCCACATTTCTACATTATTAACCAAAGGGAACTTGAATGCTATCTACTCCCCACCCCCAATTAACAGAAATTTTGATTAACTCTCTTTATAGTAAAACCTAAAGAATCCTAAGGACTGAAGCACAGACCCTCCACTTGCCCAGACTGAAGAAGTCAGGCACAGGTTTGGGTAACAGGAAAATATTACACTCTGCCTAGGGTGCCCTTCACTAATAAGGGTGATATTATTTTCATTCTCCATAACCCCCAAGACAACAAATGTGTGTGTGTGTGTGTGGGGAAAACGAGTTCCAGATTATTCAGAGGCTCTTTTCTTTATTTTAAGGCACTTTAAGCTTCCCTCTGAGATACGTAAAAAAATGAAAGCTGAAAAATTGTTTTATTATCCAAGTGGGAGACTAAAAATGACTAAAATGAAATTTTCAAATATACTAGTGTGTAGTCTAGCAAACAAGCACCCCAATCTGCAAAGTATTTCTTATTACAGTCCCACAGAAATCAACAAGATTTTAGGAATATTTTATTAAGCCTATCATTCTCATCTGGAGAAAAGCTCACTAAGTAACAATAGAAAATTATCCTACTGCCAACAAAGAGATTCTTAATGGTCACTGTAACCTGGGATCCTCACTCCTCTCCCTTTGCTCAACAACTTTATTTCTCATTTATAAGCTACTCACATTTAATCCTCTTAATAACTACCAAATAATTCAATTTGATTCAAACTGTCTGGGCTGCCAAGACACTAGTGGGGGGATGAGGGGGACACTCTGGGAGCCGGAAGTGTTGCCCCAATGTCACCAGAAATGGCATTGTGCATTGTACCTGCATCAACTAGAAGTGATGTAGGCATATTGGGGGTGACACTCTGGTTTTTAGGAAAAACTCTATGGTAAAAGAGTTTGGGGGGATTTACTCTCGATGGCCAGCTGTCTCATACTAGAGAAATAATACGCAATATGTCCCCAAGGCTCACATCAGTGTCTATTCAGGAAGAATCTAAGCTTAAAAGGGAGAAAGTAATGTTTACGTGTTTTGTTGTTTATAGCAGAAGCTTTTAAGACCCTGCTTTGGCCTTCTAACTCTGCAAAATGAACTTAATAGAACATATGAAGAAGGAAATTATAAATAAAATTACAAACGATAGAGGTCTGTTACAGTTTTGATTTACATGCTAATATCACACCGTCCCACCTGTACTATTAAAATACCTACTTTGCCTCCCCATATACGTAAGAAAAATGAAGCATGTTTCCAAAAGTGCTCTGTGCTGCTCATTTAAATTTATACTGGCTCTTCTTTAATTGATGGGGAAAAACTCTATGGTAAAATCGCCCCCTAACCATAGTTTTGCCCAAAAACCATAGAGTTGCCCCTTCCACATCACCTACATGCCTATGCCACTTCCAGGTGATGTAGGCACGTCATTCCACATTGCTGTTAGGGGGGGGGGCTTGGGGGGGTCAGAAGCCCGCAGAACTGGGGGATTCTCCCCCCCTCCAACTGGGGACTGGCAACCCTACAAACAGTCCTGCTGTGTGAAATTCAGGCATATTATCACATCAACAAGGTACCTACAAAAATGTCTAGATCCAATGTTCTTAGTGCATTTTAGTGCTAGAGAGTTTACTAGCTTTCGGGGAGCGAAACACCAGTTACCATTCTGACTGTTCCAATGAGCATTACCCAAGACTTTTCCAACTGCTGCGATTGCTCCCTTCAAATACAGCCTTGTCTGTAGTCAAATGAGCACACATGAAGCTGTCTTATTTATTTATTGTATGGCATGTACTAAGTCATACCATTGGTTTATCAAGGTGAATACTGGCTACTCTGACAGAAGCCTCCCTAAGTCGCACATAAAGGTCTTTCACATTCCCTATTACCCAATTCTTTCACATGGAGTTGAAACCTGGGACCTTCTGCATGCAAAGCACATTCTCCAGCACTAAGCCACAGGCCACAGATCTTCCACAGCAATAAATGAATGTCTCAGAAAAATTTCCAAATGCTGTTTAGAAGAGATTTGACCACCAGAACTTTCTTCCTCCTCTGCAGACACATCTCCTTGAATCTTTCATTTGTTCTATTTTATATCAATTATACTATATGAAGTGTGGAAAATTTAGAAGAAAAACCTGCTTTGGTGCAATATAGTTGGATTTGAAAGAAAACTGTAAACTCCTCCAATGTAAAAATGCAAAGGCACTCAAAACAGAGGAAGCTGTACATACATACAACCTATAATAATAATTCTGGAAATCTGGATAATAAGAAAATTACATAGATAGGAGGCTGAGCTCTCCTATGTTAGAACACAAACAAATCTACAGGCGCCTATGTATAAAGAAGGCATTTCACATTTTCTACACTAAGCCCTTGGTGAGCACACATAAGTCTCAGATACTGAGATAGACCAGTACATGACCTTTTCTGCAGCACTCTGACCTAAATGACTAGTAAAAATCTGTTTAGAATGTTAAATACTAGCATACCATAGGGTTGATTTGAATAAATGAAAGTTTACTTACATGGACTAACATCTCTGTATCTGTTTCGATTTCGGTTTTCTGGATACTTTGCAACTTTATGTGGATAATCCTTGGATTGGTTACGAATATCCTTGAAGAAGAAAAGAGACAGTTAAATGAAGTCCTGTTTACCCACTAGCAATAAAACAGTGGGCAAGCAAATTAATCAAGGTTTGTTATTTGTTAAGTCAATTTCCGATGGCAAACAAGCACTTTTTCACTAATGAAAATATTATGCAGATTACACTTAAAAATAGGGCACCTGCAAAGAATCCCAGGGTGGTGGGGAAACAATTTAGAAACTCTGCATCGGAGAATCTCTCTCTCCAGGAATCTCCAAGTTATCAGGGGCATCAGCATGCTGATATCTCCTTTTCCCTTTAAACAGACACTCACTCTCAACATTCAGACCCTTCTGAAGCTGTAATGATTTCATGTTTAACTGTGTGTGTGTGGCTTTAAAAGTTTGGTTTGCATGGCTGTGATGATAATCTAGAGTGCTGGAATCAGGCAAGTGATATGATTGGTGAGTGACAGAGAGGGGGAGGGGTTTTGGAATGGATGCTGTGTGGAGGATTTGAATGTCTATCAAGAGGGTCAGTTAGATATGACAGTTGATGAAGATCAGTTAAGTTCTGATTTCTGTGAGAGAAGCAGATGTTCTGTGTATGAGGGGAGTGAGACCCATCCCTGTGTGGGATGAGTTTAGTTCTGGGGTCTGAAGGAGAGACCTTCTTGTGTGTGTTATGGAAAGTTGAAGTATAAAGAAACAGTAACCATATATGGCCTGAAGGAAAAAGTGTTACAAAGTTACCTAAGGAAAAATCCCTGTCAGTAGGGAGCAGACTGTGTGTTATACCTACTTTACTAGTTACATGGTTCTACCCTCGTATTTATGCTTTCTTTAAATAAATCCTATTTCATTCAAGTATACCAGCTCTGGAAAGAATCCTTCCTCAGACCACATAGTTCCTCGAAAGCTTAAACCCTCGATATACCTACCCAGTGATGAATATTATATTATAAAGCTTTGGAAAGCCTTAAATTTCCTGGTGGCAGCCGGATTACCCAGTAGAGAAAAACATAAAGTACACTTTTAAAGGGAAACCAGACCTCCCCAGTAAAGGGGTCGTCACAGAAGCGTTTTCAGTCTCCATCAGGTCAGTTTAATTCTCCCCTTCCCTTTTTTTAAAAAATTACAAAATATTTTTATTTTGCATATTTGAAGGGACCCTGAAGTAGGTAGAGACACCCACACAAGGAGCAGTCAGTATATTATTAGATACAGTGGTGGTGACACACTGGTTGCTCTCCAGTGTCTTCAAAACCAGTACTAGAACTGACAAAGCATCTTGGACGATAGTTGCCAAACTCAGCTGAAGTCGATGTGCATTACCATACAGTGCACCCTCCCCTTCCCCGGCACTTTGCATCTGCTACTGTTGCCTTAAATCCTATACACAAATGTCCTAACTTCTTTCTTTGTGTTACATATAGGCCACAGCGTTACCAAACCATTTCAGCTTGGCACTGGTACTACTTAATAACAAAGCATTACCAGGGAATGATGCAAATGCTTTCCTGATCCTAGACTTGAACCATTTGATACCTCTCCCAGGAATGCATTTCCTAAAAGTGAGGCGTATATTGCATATTCTGTCCAGTACATGTTTATTTCTATGGAACTCTGCAAGCAGTAACCTGCAAACTAGATCTAAGCAACTCTGTAGGGAGTGGGGCAAAGTGATAAATGCATGAACTATGTTGTCTTTGGGTATCCCCTAAATTCTTTCTTTCAGCTCTTTGCTGAAGTTTACAGTTTGACTGTGTTCGGTATAAACTGCCAAACCATTAGACTGCTATAAAAATTTATGTCAAGTACAAAAATTCCCCTTGATACAGTAGGATAAAAGCTCTCTCTGTCTTTGCATGTTAAAGGGGGAGTTCTTTCAGAAGAACCAATATAGAACTGCAGTAATAAATTTTTCCAGTAATGTTCAATTAGTTACAAGTACCTGCACAACTGCTACACTAGCACAAAAGTCTGATACACCTCTGTTTTTCAAAACCCCAGTGGTACCAATTTAAGTAGACTATAAATTTTGAATTTGACGACTAGCACCTTCCAACCTGTGCAACATGGCAAGAGGCCTAGGAATCTACACATAGGCTCAAAAAAGTCAGAAAAGCTGACACATTGCAGACCAAGATTGTCCACTGCAGATTACAAGAAATGGGTATTAAAGCACTGGCTACTGAAAAGAAAAGCTAGGTTTTTCAATAAGAATTGATTTATTTCACCATCTAGTTTTGCAGTTTCCCATTTAAGGTAATGAACAAGCTAACTATGGACAAATTGGAACCAAGAAGTTCTTCATTTACTCAAATGGAGCACTAGGTTTCCCCCCTAGTTGTTTGCCATCGAGAATTTTCTTACATTTGCACATAAATTACTAAATATACAGCAAGAAACTGTGTATAAATTGGGGGGGTGTCATCTTACATTCAGGTAATCCTCCTTTCAGGTAAACACAGTACCAACTTCTCACCCAGAGGTGCATTTAAACTTAGGTCAACTATATACTATATATTCACCCCACTTTTCTAATCAAAAAGCTGGTTTTCTAAGCAGTTTAAAGGAATCAAATTCACAACTAAAAACTAAATATGAAGACTTAAATGCAGACTAAACATCTCTGCAGCAACAAGAATTTCTTCTAATTGAGTCAGATCCCCCCAGCAACCTGAAATCCTGCTGTCAGAAGATGAAGGAATTCAGGGAACATTCCAGGCAACCATCGGAAGGGGAAGGTGGAAAAATCATGTTTCTTGGGCAGAAATCCTCTTTTTAAAAAACTCTGATATGTCTTATTGCTGAAATATGTTTTTCCCATTACAACTTGTAGAAAAGCAGGATATAAGTGTTTTGAATAATTAAGCAAGCGTGATTCCTTCTGGGGGCAAGGGAACATCATACTTAGGGTCCATTGGGTCTTGAAAGCATCAGCCCGGTCACTGCTTCCTTGCACAGATGATTTTTATTTTCAGCTGACAGCTCCAGGGACCTGGAGGTGTGGTTACTGTCACCCACTTCAGGGTTACAATACACTACAAAGGAAAAGAGCCAGGATACTGCAACCTGCCCTTTTGCCCGGAATCTCCTTGAGATAATTCTTCTCCTCTTCTGGCCGCTGCTGCTTCTTCTTCCCCCTTCTCCCCCGAGCTGGCTTGGATTTCCTTCCTAATTCTGTGCCTTCTCTCTTCAGCCAGGCCCCTCCCATTTCCCTTTCCTCTCTATTTATAGCCCCAGTTTCACACCTGCCCTTGAGCTAAGCTCCACCCTCCTCTTCTCTGTTCCCTGCTCTAGGTAGCCACACCCTGCCTTACAACACTTAGGCCTAGAAAGCCATTGTTCCCACATCCAGGCTCGCTCACTTCCTTAAGCTTTCCTAGCACAGATTGCCAAAGCTGCCCTGTTGCTGAGGCTACCATGGCTGCACCCTCCTGCTCCTGCTCCACTAAGGGAAGTCCTGCTACTGAGTCCAGGAATGTGTCCACCAGGCAGGTCACTGCCAAGTAGCCTGCCAGAGCAAACCAAATGGATTCAGACCTGATGGAGAAGTGCTCAATTGCATCATGTCTTCAACTGATGGGCTCAATGGATATATGAAAGCTGCTGTACTCCCTTCCCTCTTGTGGCCTCAACAGTGGCAGCTGGAAGCAAAAAGGAAGGGAATCTCTCCCAGGCACTATGAAGGGGTATCTGGCTGCTTCCCAATGCAGAGTTCTCAACTACTGACTAAGCTGCCCAGCGGGGTAAATATTTGCCTGGTTCACCCTCCTTCAGGCAATCTTCCCTCAGTAACAAATTACTTGTAACTGAAAACAATGAACAGCCAGCATGGCACAGTGGCTAGAATGTCAAACTAAGATCTGGAAAACCCAGGCCAATTTGTGCTCTGCTATGAAACCTCGCCAGATGACATGGGGTCAGTTACTTGCTTTCAGACTAATCTTCTGTGCAAGGTTGTTGTGAGGATAAACTAGGGGAAAAGTCCCATCAAGGAAGATAGTGGGGAATAAATATCTAAATGGATGAATTTCAAAAGAGCAGTATGGGTAACAATGTTAGTTTTGAAAGATGTCAGTTATTCACAGCTATTGTCAACAGTGTTCTAGGAACATGATTTGGAGTCAGACCATCCACTTTATATTCCAGCATGTCACACTGAATCACAACAGAAGCTTTACAGAAGGGCTGCTCTGTATAGAAAAAGGCTTTTCTAAAATCCTCCCTGCTTGGGCCAGATGACCCTAGCTGGTAACACTACCGCGTGATTCCTGTCACCTGTGCAAATGGCTGGCCAGATGGCCAGGCCCCATCTCCATATACAAGACACTTTGACACCTCTGCCAAGAGAGAGCGACTTCCCAAGCATGGGATGAGCTATGCCCAGTACATTAGCACATCAAAAGCATTCCCTGATATGACACACGGTCAATAGAAGAGGCTAGAGTGGAATGCCCAACTCCTAGCCAATCAAAACATACCTTGCCTGACAATGCATGGTAACCAGAGATTGGAACGCCTTCCCACTCTCTCACTATTGGGTAAATGGCCATACCTGGTGGTGACGGAGGGGGGGGTATATCTGCAATGATCCATATGGGAAACAGGAGGAGAGTTAAGTGAGTTCTTCTCTGGGAAACAAAGAGTTCTTTTGGACTGACTGTTTGCTGTTAACATGGAGTGAGACTGTTAGGCAGCCAAGCTGGACTAGCTGCCTACAAAACCATGGGGTTTCTCTTCAAGATTCCCTGGTGAGACCTTGGACTATTTGCACACCAGCCTGGTAACTATGACCTACCTCTATTGTATAGCTAGAGCTGAACAAGCTATAGATATCTTTTGTTTCTTATCTTTTGCTAGTCTCATGTTATATGCATGCTTGTGCACTGAATAAAGATAATATATAATCAATATTACCTGGACCTGTTTCCTCTGTTGCAACCTGATCTCTAAGACTGAATCTTGTGTCTAAAGCCGTTCACCTAAGGAGGCTACCACTGTGGTGCTTAATTGTTTGCAGC